CGCAATAATTTTTCTCCTCTCAAAGAATAGCTAATTAATGACCTCAAGTAAAGATCAAATGCAAAAATGCACTCGAATCTTGAAGCAAGAGGATGTGATGTTTACACACATCAGCGTTTGTTTTCTCACATCCTAAAATTGATAACAAGAAGAACAAGGCATGTTTATTGTGCTCATTCATTTGGATATATAATATAAATGGCATGTTTTTCTCGCTATCCAAATGAAATATTCAAAGAAACAAACTACCAGAATAATAAAAAGAAATAAATAAAAAATTTACATTTGGAATAATTATGGGCACTGCAGTAGGGTTGGTAAATTCTTTAATAAAACATTCACATTGCTATTAACTGCTGTACAAATCATAGTCAATGCAATTTGACTGGAAAAAAATAAGAAAGAGTCCATGATCATATTGGGTTGGCAGGTAATTGAAAAAAGGAAGCAAATCACTTTTTTTTCTTGGTTGTGTGAAAAAGAAACACACTGACTGCACCATCTCCTACTTCATGGAGTCTCAAATCAAATTTTAAGGGATTTAGCTATTTAGAATAATGGTGGATGAGAAGAGAATGTTCGTAACTTTTATAATTTAATGCGGCGTAGAAATATAAGATAAGTGTAAAAATAACACAACTCTTTCAATAAATTTTCTGCCAAATGATCACCAACTTCAACTGATCGAATATTTTGTTGAACTTCCAACTATGTAAAGGATTATATAGAAATAGATTTGAGGTCACAAATAATCTGATTAAGTTTCTAACTATTAAACATAAAAAAATTAGTAGACTTGCACCAACATCCAACTTCTTAATCCGAAATATAACTAACTATTTGCCATACAACATTAAGCAGTAACAAAGGCCATTAAAATTAGCTTAAGTTCCCACATTATCTCTTCCTCAAAATGTGAACCATTATCTGGTACCGGCTCAAAAGCTCAAATATGCAAGTGTCGCCGATACGGATTTGGTTAGCAGATGCAAATTTATACCACCCTGCAGAAAAGTTGTGTGACTGAGGGGAATTAGGGATACAATTCACGGTCCATTTTCCCCCCTCTGCATTTTTCAGGATAGCCTTAAAACCTTTGCCTTGAGGAAAATGCTCCCTAGAGAAGGCTGTGGGGATGAACTGCATGAGCGAAATCCAATTAGTCAATTGAGAATTTGACAAGTGAGGAGGGAGAAGTGTGTGTGTGTGTGTGTGTGTGTGTGTGAGAGAGAGAGAGAGAGAGAGAGGACCAAAAGTTGAAACAGCACCAATCAGCAGAGTAAGAAACTGAGATAAACATTCATAAGATTTTTATTCTAGTTTTCTACATGGTAATATAGTCTACAAATACAAATTGATGGCCTTAAACATTCAAATTGATATTTCCCAAGCTTAATAACAATATGTTAAAACCTGCAGTTAATCATTAATTTAAATATAATTATAACTGTCGCTTCTTGTGAATCAAGTTATTAGAAGCCTAAACCGTGAACATTCTCGTTTCCTTAACAAGTTAACATATACTTTATGTAAATGCAAGTTACTGCTGCCAACGGCAGTGATATTTTATCTTTTATATATATATATATATATATCCTTTCTCTAACTGCATATATGAGAAATTTCATTTCTTGGATGCTTGTTAAGCATGTTAAGTCTACTGCACAAAGAGGACTGATAGTGAGGAACAAAATTGGTGCCCTAAAGCTAACCTAAAGGAATAAAAACAAAGTTAAAGGTTGCCTTGCTTACCTGACATTTAGTTTGTCTGATGATGCCTTCAAAATAAGGGAAGTTAGATTTGATAGCTTCAGGCTCAACACCTTCCAAATCCTCAGATGTGCTGTCTTCAGAATCTTCCTCCTCTTCTTTGATCTCATTGAGCTCAATGGATTCAGAACTTGAAAGTTCTTCACCTGCAGTTTCACATCCAAAATGAAACATAGCAAGCAGAGATATAAGATATATGGGTTCCGCTAGTGATATATGCACATGATATATAGGTACAGCAACATCTGATCACATACCCGATTCAACTTTGCAAGACTTCGATGGACGAGGCTTCGAAGAACTCACAGGGTATTTTCTTGGTCTACCACGAGGCCTTTTAGTAGTATTTTTAGCAAGGGAGTTGTGAAGTGATCCAATCTTGGTAAAATCAACTTCCAAATCCTCCGATGTGTTGTCTTCAGAATCTTCCTCCTCTTCCTCGGAACTTGAAAGTTCTTCAGTTCTCTCAATCCCATTCTTGCCAAAAATCCTTACGCTGAAATGCATCTTTCCCTCATAGAAAATTTGTAGCATCTCATTGTCAGTGCCCAAGGAGTTATCCTTTATAAACTCCTCCCAGCCATTCTTGAAATACACAGCACCTTCTCTTGTCTTATTCACTGTAACAGTCCATGAGGAATCTGACGAATCCTTCAGTTTCAATATTGCTCTCGCCGACAAGTCCTCCAACATATGTTTCAAGAACTTTTGTGGGATACGCTACAAAAAACAAAAGAAATTTCAGAATATATGCACTTGGTAAAGAATTTAAACAGACACCTACTGCAAAATTACAACATTCCAAGATGAAGTGCAGAACATTAAATACACAACACTAGTTGAAAATTGAAATTAATTACCACACAGTCAGTGTTGAAACCAGCGAGAAGCTTGAAAAATGACTGCTTCTCCTCTTCATTCTTGGATATTTTTCTCACCATTTTCTCCTCTGTTTGAGCTGATAATGATGCTCTGTACAGTCAATATTATTGGTAAGTAAAGGAAGAATCTTTAAACAGAAAAAGAAGAGATAAATGGTGAAATCGCAACCGAAGAAGCACAAAAAAACCACCAAACTAACATGAAGTTCAGCTTCTGATAAGTAACAGTGTTAGAGTTCACCCAAAAACAAAGATAACCAGGAATTCACTACAAAAACAACATGATTTCATCCATTGATGGGGACAATACAACTAAAGAAATAATATTTTATGCTGAAAAAAGGAGTTACCGGAAAAAAAAAACCCAACACCCAGAACACAAACTACCCCAGCTAACATGAAATTAAAAAAGCAAAATAACAAGGAACACAAACCAGCAGACGAAGTGGAAGCAAAGATGCATCAAGGAAGAGAAACAAGCAAGAAGAAACACATAACAAAAAATAAAAATGAACAGATAAATACAGGGAACAGATCTGTAACTCTAAGCTGAAAAGGCAACCCAGTTGATAACCTGTGTTTTTTAGGATTTTGCTGAGAAGTAACTGCTGCTGCTGACTGAGTGGACTGAGAAGCCAAGAAGATGGAGAGAGAAGAAAACTGAGGACTGAGAAACGAAGATGGGAGAGTGAAGAAAGAAGCTCGCTCGCTCCAGCACACTTGAGACTTCGAATATTGGATGGGGGTTGTTTTAAGCCCTTTCTGTACTGTACGGAATTAAGGAAAAAAAGACAATCGCATTTTTCAGTTCCCGTTAGGACACGTGGCACGTCACATCTGTGGTCTGTTGTTTAACAGTGTTTAAGTAAATAGTTTTCTTAAATAAAGAAAACATTAATTTCGAAAGACAATCCCATTTTTGAGTTGGCATCTGGACACGTGGCACATCACATCTGTGGTGGTGTGTTGTTCTACTGTCTGAAAAAACATTCCTTTCGTTGTGCGAGGAAGGACTAAATAAATAAACAGTAATTAAGGATAAATAAGGATTTTATCACGATTCTAATCAAAAGATCGCTCTATTCATTGTGCATCTGCTTCCCTTCCCCTCCTCCCCTACATTTACTGATTCATCTACCTCTGTCTCCCAACCAACAGCCATTAATAACTATGTTTGATTCCCAAATACCTCGGATCCTAGGCCCTTATTATTCTGTTCAAGGGGAGTTCCTTAATGGCCCATTATCGTGTCAACCTACCAGAACAACACCAAATCGCAACCACCTCATTAATGTTCCTCTCTACTCTGATATATATTGGCCTAGTAAAAAAGAAATCTCACATGTTGATGGTTAAAAAAAGGGAACAATAATACCTGATGAGGGGTAAAAAAGGCAACTAGAAGAGTGAGTAGTTATAGTATTTAATGAGTGAGTTAGGGTATATAAGGGTTTAACAAATTAAAGGAAATTTTGGGTTGAAATCGAAATTGTGAGGTATAAGGTCATGGATTGATGGTACGTTGAAGCATGAATCGATTGAGTGAAAACCGTATTGTGATAGAGTACCAAAATATATTGGTAAGTTGTTGATTTCATTTTAATTTGGTTTGCCTTTTTTATTTTCCTTATACCTCACAATTTCGATTTCAACCAAAGATTTCCCCCAATTTGTTAAACCCTAATAGCACAATATACCTTGACTCGTGGAGTTAGAGGAAGAAGATTGAAGACACTTCCTTTAAATAAATAAAAAAAATTGCACTTAACGGAAGATAATAGAATGTCTATAAATTGTAAACTTTGGGAAACACAGTGACCAATTTGGCTAAATTTTTTTCTCAGTGACCAAATTGAATTTTCATATAGCACCCACTGAATTTAACCTATTATTTAATTACTAGCCTCTCGGAGCTTGCGAGAGGCTTTTTTTAAAATAAATTTAATTTATTTTAGAATTAAAAAATATAACGAGTTGTTGTGGTCCATAAAAATAGAATCAATTATCTAATTTTTCTTTTAATTTTATTATTTTTTTAATATGAAAAAGTGTGAATTTACCATATTATCCTCATTTAATTAATAATTTCAATTCTTAATATTTGCATTAATCAAGAGGATTTTTTAAATATTTTATCATTATCTGTATTTTGCTTCATATATATAGATATTGAAGAGGAAAAAAAAATTAATGATCTTTGTTTCTTACAAAATTTGCCACGTGAAGAGCACCAACTTCCATAACCGTTTCCTAAACTCTTAGACAAGATCCAGCCAGTCTGCCGAGATAACCGTTTGGCGTGTATCGGATGAAATTGAAAACAATTCCAAGGAACACATAACCCCAAAAGAAAACCTCATATCACTCTAATAATTTTATTACAAAGAAAATTTTAATTAACCAGTCGTCCAATGTTCTTTAAGAAATCCATTAACCCATTTGCCTGGCTCTTTATTTCCCACGTTTAATTGCTTAATCACTGATTAAATCCACATAGAATTCATAGAAACTTGTTGCAGCAACACCTTTGTGAGCATTGGAAGAACATTCATTACCATTTTGGATATTGGTACGTTTTGGTCATTATTTTTTTTTAAATAATTTTATTTCCTATATGGATTAGTTTGCTGATTAATTTTGAGACTAGGGTCCTTCTTGTGGATTAATTCTGTATAATTTTGTGTTTTTTTTCTTCTGTTTTCTTTTTGGTTTTTGTGTATATATTTTATAAAAATTCTATGTTAGTTTCTGCTGTTGAGATTCTAGGCTTTCTATTTTGTCTTTTTCTTCTTGGATTTTTGAGTTATCAATGTTATGGCTTAGGAGCATTGTATTATAAGACAGCAAAGGCACATTGTATTTACCACAGGAAAAGTTCTTCTAATTCTTTTGAATCAACCTCACCAACATTTCTTTTTCTATACAAAATTGTTGCTGGGTTTTTCATCTTGTTTGAGTTGGATTGGTGCAGAAGGTGATCAAGACCTGTTCATCATGGAAACAACAACAATGGTGAAGATCAAGATGATCATGGCCATGCTGTTGATGGTGATGATGGTTTTTGTTGGAGATGCAGCTGATACAAATAGTGTATATGATCCTTGCTCAGATGCAAAAATCCGGAGATTGGATGGTTTTACTTTTGGTCTTGCATTTTCAAAGAAAGACTCGTTCTCATTCAACCAGACTCAGCTTTCACCCTGTGATAGTCGTCTAAACCTCGCAGGAAACAATGCACAACTTGCTGTGTTTAGGCCAAAGGTTGATGAGATGTCTCTCCTAACTATCAACAGCAGCACCTTCAGCCCGGTACGATATTGAAGCACACTTGGCTTATTTGGATGGAATTAAGATTCTTCTGTCCCTTGTCCCATATCTATCAGCTCATACTTTTTAATTTGTTCCTGATTTGGTAGATTTAGTTGGGTTTCAGAATTTGAGTAATTAAATTTATCAAGGGTGTGATGAGACTCAAAACCCAATGTATTTGTAATAGCTTCTAATGTCAAATGATAGTTTTTATCTCCTACTATATTTACACATACATTACAAGATTAAGAGTAAAAGCTGGTGATCATATCTCATGAATTTTTCAGATTAAGGCTGGTGGCTATATGGTAGCGTTCGCGGGACGCAAGTATGCGGCAAGATCACTCCCAACATTGGTTGCTGATGATTCAAACACCATAACTAGTTTCACCTTGGTACACCCATTTAACCATGCACAACCTCTCTCTCTCTCTCTCTCTCTCTCTCTCTCTCTCTCTCATAGCAGCATTGAGTTGAACTTGTATTTTATTTGTTCAACAGGTACTTGAATTCCAAAGAGGCACTCTTCAAAACTTGTATTGGAAGAAATTTGGGTGCAAGGCATGCTCCGGGGACTATTCTGTTTGCCTCAACAACGAAGATTGTGCTGTGCCAAACTCAAAGTGCAAAAGCAGTGGGGGATCTTTTGACTGCAATTTAAGCATACAGTTGGCATTCTCAGGAACAGACAAGCATCTTCAAGTGCTCAACTCCTGGTATGAGGTGACAAATCTTCGAAGCTACTCGCTGTATGGCCTATTCTCCAAGCTTCTGCAATGATCATGCAACAACTGGAACAGCTCTTTAGAATATGCGCTGATGGATTGGTCTCCAAACTCACAAGCTCGAATATATGGTTATTGTATTCAACCTGGTCTTGATTTTTAGGCGCCCAAAATCTTCCCGGGAACGAAAAGCTTTCGCAGCTATGCCTATGAATATGTAGAAGTTATATGCACCAGTCAGGGCATCAGGGTGAGCACAGAGAAAAATGATAGAGTAAAATACTTATTAGGGGTTTGCTTTGTGGGCTAACTAGAGACACTGCAAATAAATTGAATCAATGTTGATATGTGAACGTCGTGTAATTTGCAAAACAGCTCGGTTTTCTTTTCCACCTATTTGTTAGTTTTTTTTTTTCTTTTTCTTTTCATCTTTTTAATCATTCAAGTCCCAAAATTAAGATGTAAAAGGTGGTTCCAACGTGAAATAGACCCGTATACTTTTCTGCCTCATTGGTTTTTGTAGAACTCCTTTGAAATTATAGAAATGCTGTTCCATAATGGAACTTCTATTGTTGTTTTTTTCTTCTAATTTTCTGTCACAGTTCGGAAAATGTCTTAAATCCGAAAATCGTGTTGGGTCACCACTGAACAGCTCTCCGACCATGAAAAAGATAGTTAATATATTAGAGTAAAATCAGTAACTCCACAAAAAATTACAGCTGTGGCATTCTTTTAGTTGTCTTGCTAACAAAGAGGAATATTTGTGCTCAAAAAGAGTTTGGTGACTCCCTACCCAACCTTTCCCCAGTTGATCCAGGACTAGTTAGTATTAAGAACACCTTCATGTCAGACAATCTAATCCTGAAATATTTAGTTCCTGCTCACCCTTGTCCTCCTTGGCTTTTCCTTTGCCTCACCATCAACAGTATCACCAGCAGCAACAGCATCTAGCTTACCCACATCATCGACATCAACATGCTTGATGCCCATGAAGTGCACCTCTCCCATTTCTTCTTCTGCAGTGAAGTAACCCTCTCCCATATCATCATGCTTTAAGTCCACGGGTTGATGTATTGTGCTATTATCGAGGCTTTTGGCTGTTTCCAGAGATTCATCATGTGAAGAGGGCTCTGCTGAGGGAATTGATCCCTCTTCAGCAACCTCTGCACCTGAGGTTTCTGATTTTATCTGGGAACGGCGGGTTTGAATAAGATAATGCGCAACCGACTTGTAACCCAGTTTTGAGACCTGATAAATTAACAAAATTTAGCAATTGGTTAGCCATGTTAATTTGTGAACTTGCTCACTATGTACCAAAATCACAGTGCCCGAACTATGTAGTGATTCTAATGAGTGAATGCCTGTATGCATACCCTTTCTCTTTTTTTTCTTTTTCTTTTTTTCAAACAGATGATAGGACCTCACTAAGTCTGACATGCAAGGACCTAAGATTATCAACTGAGAAACCGTGGGGTGCTGGAAGAGAAGAATATTAAACCAAATTATATAATAATCACAGATGCATGCAGGATGAATAAGGTTGATAGGGTTAACCTTCCTATACAGATTACCAGTGGGTTCCCACCCTTTTGCTTTACGGCAAAGACTGCAGTTGCAGATGCCCCGACAAGCAGGGCAAACCCAATCAGGATTTTGGTTGGCTTCAATCACATTCTCTCCATATCTGTTGAAGACGGTAAAGTTTAATGTATAGGACCATCAGGGTTCATTACAAAGATATAAGATTGCAAGTTCTTTGAATAAACATTAAGCTAATGACATGCTTCTGAGGTCTTGTCAGTTGTTCTCAAGGTACATGTACAACCTTTCATTCATTGCATGTTTTTGGTAAGAATTGAAGCATTAAAATAATAACAAAAAAAGTTACTTTGAACAGGTAACTTAAGAAAGAACTTACCTCGTGTATAGGCAATCTCCACACAACTGCCCTTGGACCAAGTCACATTTGCAGCAATGTGTATGCTGGCCAAGAGTTTTCTGCCTGCAAGGAAGTATGTCATCTCTAAGCATACTTTACCAAGTGAAAGGACACCTTTAATTAACAAGTAAAAAGTAAGCTCAAATAACGCATGATGAATGTATTGTGAGATTAAACAATGAACCCAGTATAACAGTAAATTTAGGCACTTTTTCTATACTCTTGAGAAGGTACCATCTTTCATTCAGTTATAAATCATATGTATGAGCTACGTCAATCATCATTAACCCTTTAAATAATTTTCCATTTTAGATTCAGAAAACAAATTACTTTTGAGTATAAAAGATTAATACATGCACGAATAAAAATGCTGCAACAACGAACCAATGCACTGCAAAACTCAAGGAAGAATAGGAAGCAACAACAATTTATATCAGTTCGAAACTTGAAGGAATTCTTTTAAGGACAATTATTCAAATGTCAAACAAGCCACGTGAAATTTTACAGTGTAAACATGAATGGGCTAAGCTTGCGGACTTAAGAGTTAAATTGCATCTAAAATCTTAGAATGTTCTGCATAAGTTATGTTAAAATCTGACAATGCTGTTAGGAACATCATTATCAGCTAGTCAATTAAAGCTGGTTCAACGAATCTGTTTAAAGTATGAAATTAATACATGCACAAATAAGAATGCTGCAACAACCAACCAATGCATTGCAAAACTCAAGGAAGAATAGGAAGGAATCAAAAGGCAACACAACAATTTATATCAGTTTGAAAATTGACGAACTCTGGTGCTCAGAGAATCCTTTTCAGGACAATGATTCAAATGTCAAACAAGCCACATGACTTTTTTCTGTGTAACATGAATGGGCTAAGTTTGTGGACTTACAGTTAAATTGTATTTTAAATCTTAGAATGTTCTGCATAACTGACATGTTAAGAACATCTTTATCAGCTAGTCCATTAAAGCCGGTTCAACTAATATGTATAAAGTATGAAATCTTTTCACAGTTCAAATCATAACTTTACTGAATAAAAATCTGAAATAATATTTGTCGCAAGTTTACAACAATGCAAAAATATCGACAGTTCCAGGGATTACAACAAACACAGTAAGTCATCTTCAGTGGTTACTAGAAAAGCAAGAAACCCATCACATGAGTCATGAACTACCTGCATTGGTGGCAAGTTTCTCCCTTAACCCCATCATATATGCGTTTTCTATCTTCCCCATAGCCATCCACACCCATGGTCCAGCTTGTCATGCAATCCCCCAACAGCTTCTCATGTTCCTCTGTATAAATCTCTGGCTGTGAACCCTCCTTGATACAAATATTAACACTCCCTGAGGTCTCTCTCTTCCCTTTAGGCTTACTAATTTCCACATAACTTACTGGAGCCAGAGTCTTCAACCTAACAAAAAAAACAATTTTTTTTAAAATGAAAATCCTTTTAAGTTTTAACCTTTCCTACCATTTTCTTTTGCATTTTCCTGGAACCCAAACAAGAGGGTCAAAAACGAAAGAGGATACAAGTGGGTTACCTAGAAGAGCGCCTTGGCGGGGACCCAGAGTTGTGGATTTTGGTCTGAACAGAAGGGTCTCTCTGACTCTGGGAACGTTTTGGAGGGGCAGCTTTCGGCTTGAGCTTCAGCGAGAAGTCCAAAAGACCCAGCTTCTGCAATCTCTCCTTGTTCTCTTTGATCCTTTGGTCCCTGAACTGCTCGTACCCTGAAACCCCTGCAGTTCCATTCTCTACGGTTCCTTCACCACTGTTCACTTCCGAGTTGCCTCCTCGGCCTCGATTTCTCTGAACCACCATTAAAAACAGGGGGCAGTGGAGATTGATGGAGTTTCCTCTGTAAACGAAAGTGATATATTAAAACCTATTTGCCTGTGCCTGTATATTTTTTATTATAAGAAATTGATGTTTTAGAGAGAGAGAGAGGCGCCAATACACAATACGAAACGAATGGTGGCGCCAATACACAAAACGAAACGAATGGTGGAAATTCTATTGGGAACCCACTAATGCTTTCTACACCCAAGTTGTGTGTAATCAATTAATTTAATTTAAAATGCATCCATATGATATTTTTGAACAAAATTATAAGTTTTTAATATCAATGCCAGAGTTTCATCGATCTTGCTTGATCGTTAGTAAAGACGCATCAAATTGCCTTAATTTTGATATTAGACCGCTCCGTTATTGTAATGGGCATTTTGTGGCTAGTTTTTGCATTGTCTTTTGTGGCTAATGACTTTTTTGGCTGAATTATGAATGCAATCATATAATTTTTTTTTAAAAAAGCAAAAGATTAAAGGACTCGAAAAAACAACTAGTAGCTCAAAAGATTAAAAACAATTATTCTGCACGAGGTCTTATATTCGGATGTCTCATCTCTTAATATCATTTGTACAAATTAAAAAAGTCAAAATTGAATTTTTAATCTGACAAGAAAACAAAAAAGAAATAGGCCGGTAAATGTTCAAACTATTATTAGGTAGTAACAGTAGAGATTTTGGCACACATAATGAAAGAGCATTTTGGGTTCCAAATAGAACCCAACATGAAGTTAGTTTATTGCCATTTTGTAAGGTTAGTTTATTATCATTTTGGTCGACAATTGGCATGTTGGCAAGAGAACCAAACTTTAGGTGAAGAAACCCGTAATTGACTTTGGATGAGTTGAGGTCGTGCGGCTGGAGCTGATGGAGACCTTGCGGCTGGATCCCAAATAATTATGGCTCGATTGATATTCATGCCTTTGCAATGTCTACGAGGCCAAGAAGGAATGTGGCAAGAACCAAGTCACGAATCAAGGCATAATCACATCACAAGTTTTTCTTTTCTGTTTTTTTTTTTTTTTGTGTCGAAACACATCCAAAGCTTTTAAGGAAGCCAGATGAGATAAAGTATACACAATGCAAACTGGCAAAAAAATAGTGCAAAATGACAAGAAGTACCAGACGAATTACATCAAACGTTTGAATTGTTGCCATTAACTGCTTCATAGCCACATCCTGCACATCAGTTCGGAGAAGTTATTTGCAGTTTGGCGGTTACTACAACACCATATAAAGTTTGAATTGTTGTCACCCTGTTTGGTTTATGGGAAAGAAGGCTGAGAGATGGTAAATCAATTGTTTTCCCATATTTGGTAAGTTTAAGCATGGGAAATCGTTGTATTGCCCATGGAAAAGTAGGGGGGAGAGTGAAGCCCTCCTCTCCCCCCCTTGAGTTTTGTTTTCATCATCGTGAGAAAGTTTGAGAAAACAAGCCAACATTAAATATACATTTTGTATGACCATATTGTCCTAATTAACAATTTAGAATTACAATATAGCATTAAATGCATTCTTTTTTTATTTGATTTAATATGGTTATAATTGAAAAATTAAACAAACTTTGTTTTACATTCCTATACAAACCAAACATGTGAAAGTAAATAAAGTGGTATTTCTTAATTACTTTCCCAAGATTACCAAATATGATAAATGAATCTTCATTTCTCATCCCTTAAAAAATGACCGGAAGTGATTTCCCTCAAATATCTTATGTGAACCAGTGTGACATATTAAGGTCGTATAATTTGAAAAACAGATCGGTTTTCTTTTCCACCTATTTAATAGTTTTTTTTTTCCTTTCATTTTTTTCATTTTCAAGCATTCAAGTCCCAAAATCAAGTGTGCAATAGACTCATATACTCCCTCGTAAAAGCTTATCTGCCTAATGGGTTTTTGTAAAACTGCATTGAAATCATAGAAATGTTGTTCAATTGTCTCAAATCCGAAGATTGAGTCGCTCACCACTCAACAGCACTCTCCGATCTTGAAAAGGATAGTTAATATATTTGAGTGAAATCAGTAACTCCACAAAATATTACAGATGTGGCCTTCTTTGCTGTCCTGCTAACAAAAGAGGAATATTTGTGCTCAAAAAGAGTTCGGTGTCTCCAAAATTTCACCAGTTGATCCAAGACTACTTAGTATTAAGAACAGGCTTCATGTCAGACAATCAATAATCCAGAAATATTTAGTTCCTGCTCACCCTTGTTTCTCTCCTTGGCTTTTCCTTTGCCTCACCATCATTAGCAGCAACATCATCTAGCTTACCCACATCATTGACATCAACATGCTTGATGCCCAGGAAGTGCACCTCTCCCATTTTTTATTCCGTTGTGAAGAACCCCTCATCATGCCTTAGGTCCTCAGGTTGATGTCTTGTGCTTTCCAGAAATTCATCATGTGAAGATGGCTCAGATCCCTCTTCAGCAACCTCTGCACCTGAGGTTTCTGATTTTATCTGGGAATGGTGGGTTTGAATAAGATAATGCGCCACAGACTTGTAACCCAGTTTTGAGACCTGATAAATTAACAAAATTTAGCAATTGGTTATCCATGTTAACTTGTGGACTTGCTCATTATGTACCCAAATCACAGTGCCCAAACTATGTAGTGATTCTATTAAGTGAATGCATGTGTGTATGTGTATGCATTTAACTGTCTGTAGATGCATGAGTTACTGTGCTTGCATGCATGTTGTGTTCTATTGCATGTTTTTCTCTTTATTTCTTTTTCATTTTTTCAAACAGATGATAGGACATCACTCAGTCTGACATGCAAGGACCTAAGAGTATCAACTGCGAAACCGTGGGGATCATGCTGGAAGAGAAGAATATTACACCAAATTATATAATGATCACAAATGCATGCAGCAACATAAGGTTGAAAGGGTTAACCTTCCAATACAGATTACCAGCGGGTTCCCACCCTTTTGCTTTACGGCAAAGATTGCAGTTGCAGATGTCCCGACAAACAGGGCAAACCCAATTAGGATTTTGGTTGGCTTCAAGCATATTCTCTCCATATCTGTGGAAGACGGTAAAATTCATTGCATGTTTTTTGTAAGAATTGGAACATTAAAAGAAATGTTACTTTCAATAGGTAATTTATGAAAGAACTTACCTCGTATATAAGCAATCTCCACACAACTGCCCTTGGACCGAGTCACATTTGCAGCAATGTGTATGCTGGCCAAGAGTTTTATGCCTGCAAGGAAGTATGTCATCTCTAAGCATACTTTACCGAGTGAAAGGACACATTTAATTAAAAAGTCAAAGGTAAGCTCAAATAACGCATGATGAATGTATTGAACGATTAAGCAATGAACCCAGTATAACAGTAAATTTAAGCATTTTTTCTATGCTCTTGAGAAGGTACCATCTTCCTTTGGGTTATAATCATATGTATGAGCTCCTAAGCATCAGTAATCCTTGAAATCTCCTTTCCATTATAGATTTAGAAAACAAATTACTAAAGAGTATAAAATATAAAAACATGCACGAAATGCTGCAACAACCAACCAATGCACTGGAAAGCTGAAAGAAGAATAGGAAGGAACCAATCCATTGAAAGTGTACCTGGTATATTGAAAAAGTTTCAATTGGATGCATAATTTTCATAGCAATGACAAGACTTCTTTCAATGCTACATTTTCATCTATCCATATAAGTAATTTGATGAATTGAAAGCTTAAAGCCGAAAGAGGCAACAAACTTTAAATGGTTCTAAATAAAATGTGGTGTAAAGGATAAACTATTGGGAAAAGGAGAACATAAAATACATTTATTGTAAGGTCAAATTGAAGCTTGATATATTAAAAAATACAACCCAACCAAAAGGTAACAACAACAATTTATATCAGTTTGAAACTTGAAAAACTCCGGTGCTCACAGAATCCTTTTAAGGACAATGATTCAAATGTCAAACGAGCCACGCGACTTTTTTCGGTTTACCATGAATGGGCTAAGCTTGCAGACTTACAGTTAACTATATCTAAAATTTTAGAACGTACTGCATAACTTGACATGTTAAAATTTGATAACGTTGTTAAGAACATCATTATCAGCTAGTCAATTAAAGCCGGTTCAACTAATCCCTATAAAGTATGAAATCTTTTCAGAGTTCAAGATCACACCTTTACCAAATAAACATCAGAAATAATATTTGTGGCAAGTTTACAACAATGCAAAAAATATCCAGTCCCAGGGGACTACAACAAACACAATGAGTCATCTTCAGTTGTTATAAGAAAAGCAAGAAACCCATCACATGAGTCATGAACTACCTGCATTGGTGGCAAGTTTCTCCCTTAACCAAATCCACACCCAGGGGCCAGCTTGTATTACAATCCCCCAACTGCTTCTCATGTTCCTCTGTATAAATCTCTTGCTTTGAGCCCTCCTTGATATAAATATTAATACTCTCTGAGGTCTCTTCCTTCTCTTTAGGCTTTCTAATTTCTACATAACTTACTGGAGCCACAGTCTTCAACCTAACAAAAACAAAAAACGCTTTTTTGAAAAAGAAAATCCTTTAAAGTTTGAACCTTTCCTACCATTTTCTTTTGCGTTTTCCTGGAACCCAAACAAGAGGGTCTTTAAAACGAAAGAGGAGAAAAGTGGGCTACCTAGAAGAGCGCCTTGGGGACTTGTGGATTTTGGTCTGAACAGACGAATCTCTCTGACTCTGGGAACGTTTTGGAGTGGCAGCTTTGGGCTTCAGCTTCAGAGCAAGGTCCAAAATTCCCAGCTTCTGCAATCTCTCCTTGTTCTCTTTGATCCTTTGGTCCCTGAACTGCTCGTACCCAGAAACCCCAGCAGTTCCATTATCTACGGTTCCTTCACCGCTGTTCATTTCCGAGGTGCCTTGGTCTTGATTTCTCTGAACCACCATTGAAAACAGTGGACTCTGTAAACGACATTGGCAAAAACGAAAGTATATTTTATAAGAAATTGATGTGCTTGAAAACAAAAAACAAACAAAAAACAAGAGAGAGATAGAGAGGCGGCAATACACATTACAAATGGGGAAATTATAGTGATATTTAGTCATATAATTATTCTTAGCATTAATAATATAGATAAATTTTAAATTATTTAATTTTTATAAACAAACTAAAAAAAAATCCAAAAAATGACAGTTGACCTTATTGAATTTAATTTTGATTGTTAAATTACTTCGATTCCCTATTAAGTGTTTTGGGCTTTTTTAATGAGGTTTTGGAGTTGGGTTTGTTTTAAGAAATCAATTGCAATGGGCTTTGAGTGTATTTCTAAAGTCCATTTCTTATAACGTTTATTTTATTTTATAATTTGAGCTCCTATATTGGGTATAATAGTAAATCTCCCAAAATTATATTGGGTTGGGAACTACTAAAATGCTTTCTAGAATCAGCAATAAATTACTCCCCCCAATCTTCCTATTTTGCCCTAAAATGAAACTAATGAATAAATAATAAATAAAACTCCCAGCAAATCTGAGTGCTTCTTTTTTTTTATTGGTTGCTAAAGTTAGGAATGGAGAGGGGGCAAAGCACACACATGCGAGTCCTATAGGGATTTGAATCCTTGACCACTTAAGAGCACACTAAAGATCTGGACAATTCAGAAGCCTAATAAATTTACATCAAATTGCCTAATAATTCACGGTGACCAAGTTTAATGAACCTAGGTAAAATCTTACTGTACTTATGTAGAAACATGATCTTAAGTTGAATAGTTTTTATTTTTATCAAAATATCTAAGTTGAACACTAAGAGAGTCTAAAACACTTTGAGAAAAAATAAAGAGGATAACGTGGACAAATAACTAAGATGGGGCTAAAATGAAATGATGACTACTATGTACACAGAACAGAAAGGGAAAAATATGAATAAAATATGTACATGTTTTATTTGGTAAAATTTTGGCAAGATACAACTGACAAGTTCAGCCACTTTATAATATTGTAATATAATTTATTTAAATATTTAAATATATATTATTATTTTTCAATAATATGTGAAAAATATGTGTATAATACATGAATTTTGTATGTATTTTTCAAAATTTTATAAAAAATACGTGTATTAAGTGTGAAAAATATGTATGTACATGTTTGCTTTTTTTAAAACGTGCCTTTTACCGAGTCTTTAAGATGTGTATGAAACAGAAGTATTATTGAAAAATATGTATGTATGTGCATAATACGAGTATTAAACGAAAATATACTGACTAGGGTTCTGCTTGTGGGAAATCAATTAATATTCATTGATGCACACCAAAGAGCTCAACAATGATAAAACTGAAGTAGAAGCAAGCATGGCACCAAAGAGTTTTTTTTTCTCATTGAGAATGCAAATATATAGGTCATGTGAAGAGAGACAGAGAGTGGGAGAGTGACCCACAAAGTAGAACAACTATGAAAGCAAGCTTATGCACAAAAGCTACCACAAAATTAAAAACAGTGAAATGAAAAGAATGACAAATACTAGATGCCAGTGATACAATTAAGAAATAAAAAGTTTAAAATATAAATGATAAATGCAGTTTATATATATATATATATATAAATCAAGCGATATAGAAATGATAAATGATGACTATTTGAGCTACAAAGCCCCTTACAAATAAAAATCCATTTAAAATTTGATAATATATGCTACAACTCATAAAAAAAAGTGGATTATCACAAATTAGAGTTTTCTTCGACAAAAAGATATTATAGAAAGAAGAAACAACAAAATCTAGAGAAATAAAACAAAATCTGATGCGTAATATGTATGTTGACATAGACAAAGAATCAGAGGAATAAAATCAATTCTTAATCTTACACAAGGGATTAGTCTAATATGTATTTAGACAAGGAATAGTATAGTTGTATCTAATTTCTTTAAATACATTATCTAAATTGCAAGTACGAACATTTGTGTATTATAGAAAATTGTATATATTTTTATTTTTACTATTGAATAATCAAACATGAGAACGAGAATAAGTAATACTTTCATATTTACGAGTATTTTCAAACACTAGAATGGGAGTGATTTGTTTTCATCCGCTAAAATGAGTTTAGGAACAACATCCTCATGGAATTGGTTATGTTAAACAAGTGCGTACTTGTAAAAGTGGTAAAGTTCAGATATGATATAACAACTCTCATAAATAGCACGTCCACCTTCCGTCTTAGAACTATAATCTAGAAGTTCTCTTATGGCAATATTGATACAATTCTTGCAATCTACATCAGAAAGATCCCCAGTGCATTCAACTACACCATGAACCGTGCCTTTTTCTGATACTTTTAGCTGCCCATGAGCATGCAGCGATCCACGAACAACTTTGTCACATAATTGGATTAAGACTTGAAGCACGTTCTTTTGAATGAACTTGGCATTATAAAGGGATTTACGATTTTTCAAATAAATCTCGTTATCCATGTCAATTTTACCAAAGAAATTTTCATCTGAGTATTTTAGGATGCAACCTACCATCCAAATTATAGCTCCTCGACTTCGAGGGCAATGCTTGCCAATTTTTTGGGTTGCTCATGACACCTATCCGGTAAAGAGTTCTTAAAACATATTAAAATCATTGAAAATTCTTATATAACTATTGGAAAAGAGAAAATAATCCATAAAACAATCTTTTCATTGTGTGATTGCAAGTCTGAGACGTTTTTTTGTTTCCCCCCCTGACATGGATAACACTTCAAATTGGTCTAAGCTAACAGAATAACGATCTTTGAAGGGCTCTTCTCATTGTCTTCACAAATTCTTCACAAATTTAGGACTTACGTAAACTTGTATCCAATACAAATACAAATGCATTTTTAACCGTTGGATTGACGAGTTTACGTAAATCTGAAGAAATCAGAAGCAAAAACAAACATATTCATCTTTGAAAAATTGAATTGCTTTATAACTAAAACCAAAATAGGCTCATTTCTCACTGTTGCATTACATAATGATGAATGCACCATTACGGATCATATTTCTTGAGTTTGCAACAGTATAAAAACCCCCACAAAAGGGTATCAACTTCACCACGCAGAAGCTATACAAAAAGAAGATGACGCCTGTACACACCCTACATCTACATTTTTGTACAGTTAAAACGCGAGAGACAGCGTAAAACAGGACCATTTCTCACATTCTCAAAAAAATTTGTAAACTTCAACTTCATGACTTTCTGTTCACTTACCTACATAGAAAATACCACAGGCAATGCCGAGAGAATTGGATCATGTGCTCTTGAGTCTTGCCTATCTTGGAAGGTACCTTGGTATTTGAGCTTTGTGATCATTGAGAAGTTAAACAGCAACAATCAAGTGGAAGGACGGACAAAAGATCTTCGCTAAACAGTTTCATTAACACCCATCGTCTGATGAACATCAAGAACAAGATCTCGCAGCTCAGGAAAAATTGAAACGAGCGACAATTCAAGTATGGCATATGCAAGTTGCTTCACGCAGATAGTAGACTGCAGTTCATAATAATCCACAATCACCATATGCGGTTTGAAACCTAACAAACTAAATTGCAGCAGACAATGCAAAAGGATGAGAGACTAACCTGAGTGAAATAATAAATGTCTCTTGCACAACGTCTGTACTGCTTATGCCCGATTAAGCTGACTAAGGCAGTTGGAGTTCCATCTGTCACAATTGTGGATCAGTTTGTTTCTTTTCATGTAGTAGTCAGAGCAATTAGACAATGACACAAGCAGTTCTAGTCTTCACACTACTCTAACAATCATGGAATACTTTATGATATATATAACACATGAATCAAGCCAGAAAAATGAATGTATGTACGTATATAACAAGAAAGTGGCAGAAGATTCATGAGTTGTCACAGAATTCTGGTGCCGGAA